TCTGCTAATTGAACCGATTTAGCCTTTTTCTCGGAGCACTAAGAGAGGTGCTTAAATAGCACTGGGAAACCCACACAGAGTCAGACCAGCCAAACTACACAGGAAGTGCTGGGCTAATATTAACATCAATCGGGACACTTGGGCCATACCATGGCTAACAGAGGCATCCCATACAGAAAAGCCAGGGAACGCATAGAGTAAATGAGACAGAATCCAATAAAATGACAGAAAATGAGATTTGATGCAGAAAGGAGCCAGATTCAGAGAGTGAGGGGCGGGGCTACAGTGGCAGGGGAAGGGGGAGAGATATGGGGTGGGGCTATAGCAGGGCACATGGCACAGTAAGTCCCACTGACTCTCCTTATAGCTGCTGTAAGGTGAAGAAGCCCCGCCTCTGAGGCACTCATTCTCCTCCTCACCATTCATCCAGCTGAGCTTACCAGAGTCATGGACATACAATGCAACACATATATACAACATGCACATAGCAGAACAATTACATTACAAGCAGCAATCAACTGGATGAACTTTGGTACAGAGTCACTATGCTACCATAGTGTCCCCCCCCCCCCCCCCCACAACACACACAGAGTCTTCTTTCACTAGGATAAACCTATTCTACGTTTCACACTCCATCCCCATCATACTGGGGCAAACCAACACCACAGGCATGACCTGTAGGATTATGACAGCAGATTTGTGTGCGGCTACAGCTAGTGAGGAAGCCAGCTTGTAGAAAATCCAGGCTCCCTCGACCTTGGTGCTGGGAGGATGACAGCCATTAGTCCCAGTGCCCATGCGAGTCTCTAACAACTTCCCAATCAGACATCCCAGAAACCCTCATTTATATTAGTACATACACCTGCCTTCTACTGACATCCCATACTGGTAATGATCCCTAATCTCATCCGGACAAAGCTCAATATGAGATGCCCTTACACTGTATTTATTTTATATTTTTTCTCCAAAGCAAAGTACAAATAAGGACAGCTTGGGTTTTAGGCCACAGGGGTTAGGTACAGATTCCTGGAGCAGTTGAGCTTAAAGGCCTTGCTCATTATGATTCTTCCGGCATTAAAACCCATGATCTTCCGGATACGGACACAGATACCTAACCCGCTGAGCTGCACGTCGGGATCCGAAAACCGATATCAGAAGCTTGTGCCGCTCACATGAATAGTGCGGAACTCCTACATTCCTCTCTGTAAACACAGGTCGGGGGGGGCAGAGGCAAAAATCAAAGAGCAAAAGAAAGCGAGAAAAAGAACAGAGTAGAGAGGACCGAAGAGATTGTGTGTCCTCCCTCTCAACCTCCAGAAAGCTCCAGACAGTCTGAGAGCGGCCATGGCAAAGATATATACACAAGAGATCCTGCGGTATGACAGTTAGCCAGGAGACTATGGATTCAGACACGAGCATAACTGCAAAGATGGGGGGGGAACAACAGAGAATTTCAATTGTTCTTCCTTTGGGTAGCCGGAGGTGCTCCACACTGCTATTGAATTTTTAAGCAGAAAAAGAAGGGTTGTGTGAAAAAAAAACGGACATTACAGGTTAGCAAGAGAGGATCGTCATCCCACCAAAGGGCAAATGGAAACCAAGTCGAACGACTGTGTGATTCTCTGGGAAAGCCCAGGGGAGTGGGGGTCACATCTCTGTGCGGAGGGAGGGACCTGGAAGCCCATGCTACGGGTGACCGCGGTTCTAACCAATGTCATTACACAGATGGTCTGAACGCAGTATACATGGCAAAGAGAGGTTCACGGAGTCAAAGGGGCAGCCCCTCTAAGCTCTGGTGAGGCACCGTGAACGGTGGACGAAAGTGCCAGCGGGGGCCCGTGAGCTGCCACGTTGCCTTGGCAACAGCAAGATGGATTCAGGGTGCGTGTTGGGCTCTGCCTTAACCTGCTTCCCTGCCTTCAGCTTTACTTGCCTCGATCTCTGGCTGCCTCTCTGCCTCGATCTCTGGCTGCCTCCCTTCCCTGATCTCTGGCCGCCTCCCTGCCTCGATCTCAGGCTGCCTCCCTTCCCCGGTCTCCGGCTGCCTCTCTTCCCCGATCTCTGGCTGCCTCCCTTCCCTGATCTCAGGCTGCCTCCCTGCCTCGATCTCAGGCTGCCTCCCTTCCCCGGTCTCCGGCTGCCTCCCTTCCTCGACCTCAGGCTGCCTCCCTTCCCTGATCTCTGGCCGCCTCCCTGCCTCGATCTCAGGCTGCCTCCCTTCCCCGGTCTCCGGCTGCCTCCCTACCTCGATCTCAGGCTGCCTCCCTTCCCTGATCTCTGGCTGCCTCCCTTCCCTGATCTCTGGCCGCCTCCCTGCCTCGATCTCAGGCTGCCTCCCTTCCCCGGTCTCCGGCTGCCTCCCTTCCCTGATCTCTGGCTGTCTGCCTGGTTCCATCTCTGCCCACCCGCCTCCATCACTGGCTGCCTACCTGATCCAAACCTGTCCAGAAATGGAACTTAAGGTCAAAAGTTCCCTGCACAGATGGGAGCGAGCTGCTTTTATTCCTTGTTACTTTGAACCGTCCGGTCTATTTTCACAAACTATTTTCCTACTCTCTCCCCTACCATTTCCCTGCATTTTTTTCCGCTCTTCATCAAGAAAAATCCTCCAAGCGTCTCCCTGATGAAAATATGGAAGTTCGCCCTGCATCCCATCCCCCATCCCAGCTCCACTTCACTGATGCGATGCTCATTAGCTTCCTGTCAGACTTGTCTTTCCCCTCCAGTTCCTGTGATCTCTGCAGCCCACTTTCCCTCTCTCTCTCTCTCTCTCTCTGTTACTTCCTGTCGAGTCGGACTTGTAAACCCTGAACATTCATGGGCCTGTAGAACCAGCCATTCCAGGCAGCTCAGACAGAGAAGAAGTGAACGAAATGGGGTAATGAACAGACTACGGCTTAAAGCATTTATACATGTTAAAAGGTGTGTAGTTAAGGACTCGCGTCTGGTTCACGGTGCTATCATCACTTTTGCCTACAAGGCACACGCACACACACACACTATCTGCACCGGCACACTGACTACTGCAGACGGCTCTGCGTGGAGCTGCGCAGGCAGTGCTTGCAGAGGCTAGCTCCGCCCACGTGTACACGCGTGTGCACTTGAATGCACAAAACCAAAAACCAAAAAAGAAAAAACAATTCAGAAAATTCACACAAAACGCAAGTTTGGAAGCACCAGCTCACTGCCTCCAGAATATGCTTCCAATTATACTGGCAGGCATAAGAGGGTTAGGGGCTCTTAAGTGAAGGTGGGGGGAGAAAGGGGGAGGCAGCTGAAGACCTTGGATCATTAACTGTACTCCAGTCCCCAAGACCTTCACCGAGCAGCAAAGCGAGGTAATGAAGGCACTCTTGTAAGGCATTCCCTGACCCCCCCCTTAATGGTCTTTATTTCCCCTGCCGTGTCCTTCCTCCTCAAAGGTGTGGCATTCACAGGGCACAGCCAGGGGTGAGACACTGAGGGAGAGGGAGGTATGTGCATGTGTGTGTGTGTCTCCCATGGAGAGCAAGATGGGACAGGCAAGAACTACCTAATTTCCCCATGAGGATAAATAAACGAAGTATGGCTATTATGTTCCAGATGACGTACTCACTCAGGGGGGGACCAACTAACAACAGAAAAGGATGATGGGGAGGAGGGACATCCACCAAGGTCGAGGTGGGGGTTTCCCCCAGAAAACTGGACATTTAAGTCCCTGAAGTCCTGGCAGATGTGACACTGCAGTTCAAACCACTTATGCCATTTGTAGTTTTCATCTTGTCATAAGACGAGAGAGGCTCATTTTTGACAGCCTCTCCCGCCCCCCATCCCGAACTGAAGGTAAAGCCCCCAAAATCCCGCACAGCCGGTGAGGGAGAAGCTCAGCACGGCGGACCCACCCGGCGGCGATCAACTGCGGATTTGGGGCAGGGGGAGAGTAATCCTGCAGTCTGTACCATTGCAACCGCCCCCCCCTCCCATTTGCGCATGGTGCACTCTTGTGGAGAAGAGATGGTACAATGTATATGGGAGAAAATCCGGAACTGTGCCCAGGAAACAGGGCCATGTATAATTCAGAGATGTATCTGTGCTCCTTACAATCCTGGCATTAATAATACACGGATCCGTGTCTGAGGAGGAACCCTGGTAAAAGCGCAAAACTGCGGATGCCGGCGTAGGCCGCGTGCAGGCAGCCGGAACTGCCCGCTCATTGGCGCACAAGTGTAGCCCGATATCACCTGCCGATGGCGCACAATAGGTGTAACGTTTCCAAGTGCCCGCCGGGGTAATAGATCTCGTTTATCCAGCCTGTTAGTTTACGGTTTACCTGATTAACGCTCCACAGTTAGGTAGGGGACAAACAGCCTCCTTGCTGCAATCAAACATGCGGCCAGTTAATCAGCTTTTGATGAGAAAAACCCCTTGTGAGATCCCCCTCAGATCACAGGCCGGTGACATGTCCCAGCGAAGGAGGGGCCCAGGGTCATAGCTAGCTAACCGCTATGTAGCTGGCACTGCCCTTTGGCATCCCTCTACTCTCAAGACGATATCTACTTTCTCAAAGTCAACCAGCCAACTTCATGCTGATCAACACCAACCCACCAACTGCAACCAACCCTTGTGATCAGCAGAGTTCGAACACATCCTTAAGTTAGGCTAAGCTTCGACTACGGGTCTCCCTGACTGTGATGACGAAACTAGAGCCATTACTCGACGGATCCACCGTAACGGTGTGTTTTTCGTGATTTCGTTTTGTGTTGGTGATGAAATGTGTGGGAAATTCTGTGCAAGGTATTTGAGACCGAACCACAGCCTGTGAGGCACTGGGAGTGGAGGCATTTGTGCAGGCTGGATTTGGGGGGGGGGCGCAGAGGTGCGTGCGCATGTCACTGAGCGTGGGCTGGGAGGGGTGGATGGGCTGTCTGAGCCACGCTACTTTTAGATGCACGACAACACCGACACATCATCCTGCACTCCAGGAGGTCAAAGAAATGGAGGATTCATGACGTCTGGCTCACCTCCTTCAGCACCTGATGGAGCAAGTTGGCGGTTTCCGTGGAAACATGCCACGGGTCCCTCTCGTCCACCATCATGGCGTCCAGTGTGGCCTTCTCCAAGACCACGTCGAAGGTGCCCTCGGGGAATTCCAGTTGCCGGACGTCCATCTTCAGCCACGTCATGCCGGGGCAGTCGAAGTGCCGGCTCGCCATGGTCTCCACGCAGACGGAGGAATAGTCCACATTGGTGATGGAGCGGAAGCCGCGCTGGTACATGTCAAAGCTGAGCGAGCTGTTCCCACAACCTGTGATGCAGCAGCACAAGCAAACTTCAGGAATGCAGCCTCAAGTAACACGTCATTCTCATCAGCATCCTGTATTAAACCTTCCCGCTGGATCATCCTGACACTCTAACGCCAAGAGACACATGGTCAATAGAGGCAACCAGAGACACATGGTCAATAGAGGCAACCAGAGACACATGGTCAATAGAGGCAACCAGAGACACATGGTCAATAGAGGCAACCAGAGACACATGGTCAATAGAGGCAACCAGAGACACATGGTCAATAGAGGCAACCAGAGACACATGGTCAATAGAGGCAACCAGAGACACATGGTCAATAGAGGCAACCAGAGACACATGGTCAATAGAGGCAACCAGAGACACATGGTCAATAGAGGCAACCAGAGACACATGGTCAACAGAGGCAACCAGAGACACATGGTCAATAGAGGCATCTCCAATCAAACTAAGGATCACCGACTCCTCAACCTGAAGGTCACACCAACACCTTCCCCACCCTGTATGAAGCTGTGACACCTGTTCGGTGAGCCCCAGCGGGTGGTGACAGGGTGCGAGGGCACGTGGGGGGAGAGGGGAGAGTGTCATTTCCTGTGTCACCACTGGGACGTCACATCTCCTCCAAGCCGAGACTAACACTTATTATCACTTTTTATTCTTCAAGCTAATTAGACCTCAGAGGCTCGGGGTGCAGCGACCACCCCCCCCCCCCCCCCCCCCCCCCATCCCCAGGCAGCTGGCGTCAGTATCCTTCTCTGCCACACGACGGAAAAGATGAGCCCGTCTTCCTGGGATGGAGGTCTGTGGCTCTGGGACTTAAATGGAGAAGTGTCGCCCTAAGGAGCCGGACGGGGGGGGGGGGGGGGGGGGGGGGGGCAAAAGGGCCCTTGCACTACATGGCTATCTCTACCGACTGGGACAGAAAAATACATGGAAAAGCTAATAATAAAATTGTCCCACGGACAAAAATGACCACGTGGAAAAAGCAAATCACCCGGAGACATTCCATAATAAGACGCCCTGAAACGCGATATTCATTCACAACTTCTTCCTGCAAGCTGCTGAGACCAGTATAGTCGGCCATCGCCTTCAAGGACACGGCGCCCATTCCGTCGCCGTGATATCAAGGGCTGTAACCCATGACCTTAAGCCACATATAGCCTTGGCTGACACCGTGGCAACAAGCACACTTTCAGAGAGCAGCCAAACAACCCCCCCCCCCATTCCCCAGGGACAGCATGTGAGTCCCCGGAGGGACCCACACACTGAGGTCTGGGTCCCCCCTCCCGGGATCGCCGCCAGCACCACAACCTAAAGGGACTAAAGTTTGTCAGGCGGGACTCTAAACTTAGTCCCCCCCCCCCCCACCCCCAGGCAGCTGGCGTCAGTATCCTTCTCTGCCACACGACGGAAAAGATGAGCCCGTCTTCCTGGGATGGAGGTCTGTGGCTCTGGGACTTAAATGGAGAAGTGTCGCCCTAAGGAGCCGGACGGGGGGGGGGGGGGGGGGGGGGGGGGGGTGGTGGTCCAGTCCGGGGAACAGGGTCCTAAAGTTAGAGCGCTTTGGCATGGGCTGAGCGCACGAGTAGCTTGAAATAAAACCTGAGCCCCCGACTCCGAAAGTCCGGAGAGCTGCCGGGCTGGAAGGGCACCGCAGTCAATGTGGAAATCTCGCTGTCATTCCCGAGAACCCCCCCAAGGCACACCATGTCACACCACCAAGAACGCAAACAAGATGAAGATCACATTGTGTTTGTCCTGGGGATTGACGCCGCATGAGTCAGACTCTTGGCAGAGGAGACAGTTGCTGCCAAAGCCCCCTTGCAGGTGGGAGTAAACAGCAACCCCCCCCCCCGGAAGAAGGGCGACCCGACCTGCGACCCGGTGGTGCGGCCGTTTGGAAAATCCTGCCTCGTTTGCGTTTGGCAGATGGCGGGTCTCTTAAGGAACAGAGACGCGGCTGTCTTGCAGATTTATGCGTCTGACTCGATCCAGAGCTGGACGGGTGTCTGTCAGGGAGGCGAGAGCCGGCTGGACTGAGGGGGACAGTGACACCCACATGCAGATCTCCATCCGCCAGCCACACACCCAGTAACTCAGGCCCCCAAATCCATTACATTAGCATTTACATTATATTTAGCTAGCAGACGCTTTTATCCAGAACAACATACACTTTTGAGAAAGCAGAGTCCACCAGTCCCTGGAGCAATAGAGTGTTAAGGGTCTTGCTCAGGAGCTCAACGGTGAAATCACTTTGCGAACCCTGGGATTTGAACCACCGACATTCCGATCACGGGCACAGCGACCTAACCCCCAAGCCCCCAAGATAATCTCACCTGTACCCCACTGGCCATTACAAGTCACCTCAAGTGATGCCAAACACAATGCACCACTTCGCAGTTCACAGTCTCCCTGAAAGAACTGTGGTTATTCATCCATATTTTTTAAAGATATTAATAAAATTCCATATAAATTCCTCTGAAGCCAAGATAATAAGGCTCCACAAAAAAAGATTTTAGTTCACAGATCAGACAGCCAACGTAAGAGTTCGCGACGTTCCCTAAAACGCCTCAGCGCTTGTGCCTGACACATTGTCACACGTACAATCTGCACCGTTCCGGTCTGAACTGGCCCCCGCTCACCCCGCCAAATCCATGACCCCCCC